CAACTTAAGATATGTGCATCTCCCAGGCACGGATACTTTTGATAGCAAACCCTAGCGTCTTTATGGACGGCGAAGGGCCTAATCTGTATCTTGCAACGTCGAGGTGACAGGATGGCGTTTTCTTCAGCCCTTGTGGAAGCCGAGAGGGGGAAGGGTGGCTTTGGTGGGATTTATTTTAAGGGAGATGGATGTGAAGTAAGATTGAATAATTGGATGTTTTCCTTCTGTCAGTACCTCCAAACAGATAGTTTATCAGGATGAGTGCGGTCTGGCATTTGGGTGTCATCGGTGTAAGCATGGGCAGGAGACGCTTCACGTGGGTGAGAGAGGTGGAATGGAAGGTAATTCGTCATGATGCTGAAAAGGAAAGGGCAGACCAAGGACTCCTGAGGGACATCATGAGTTAGCGGAAGAGAGGGAGAGTGAGAGAAAGAGAGAGGGGAGAGAGAGAGAGAGAGGAGAGAGAGAGGGAGAGAGAGAGAGAGAGACAGAGGTGAGAGAGAAGAGAGAGAGAGCGAGAGAGCGAGAGAGAGAGAGAGAGAGAGAGAGAGAGAGAGAGAGAGATAGAGAGAGAGAGAGAGAGAGAGAGAGAGAGAGAGAGAGAGAGAGAGAGAGACGCTTCTCACCGCCTGACGCCGAGCAGCAAGGTAGCTCTCAAACCACCTCGGATCAGTGTCATATCATTGCGGCCTTGTCAGACGGGTGCCAAGGTCGACACTATCAACGACAGCTGCACACAAGAAACATGCTCACATATATTGTATACTACGGGAAAGATTGATATAGGTTTGAAGTTACTAGCGATTTCAAAAGAGCCAGATTTGTGAAGAAAAGGCAATCGCTCAGAAATCGGGAAAACATAGGAGGTGACGGAGGTGTTGATAGGATGAAGTGAAGCGGATGTGGTTCGATAACAGGGAAGCATTTACCTAAGACGGCCGGGCCACGCCGTCAAGTACCGCCGCCCCGTATCATGACAGTTCGTTCAAAGCCCTCGATAGTTCGGGCCAACTCGTGGGACGCAGTCTGAGATTGGCAGCGGCCACACGCGGTGGTCTGCGGTGAACAGAATCAGAACAGAACAGAATCGTTGCCGAGGCTGCCTGCTGCCAGCCCGACAGCGAGGCGTTGGCCGATGGCAGCGAAGTGCCGCTTGAAGTCGTCGGCCTTTTTTACGGTTAAGTCCTCGGTGGTGCCCCCTCCCCCTTCGCGGACCGCTGATGGAACATTTTAGTGCCTCGCCAGGAGACAAGCACGGTCGGTGAGCATGACGCCACACAAGAAATCCCACCTCGACCTCACAAAGTGGCCTTTCACGTGGTTCCGAAGACATCGCCATCATCATCATCATCATCGTCATCGGTAAGTAAATCGGCTTCGTCCCGAGAGTTACGCCATGCTCGGCACGCGTCATCATACGTCGTCCGCGTCATCATACGTCATCCGCGTCATCCGCTGCAGGTCAGAGCTGTCCTCCAGCCATGGACGATGGGAACGACGGCTTATGAGTGGAGAGATGAGGCTTTCAGGGAAAAAGACACCCGAACACACTCCATCGCATGCGCATGAACTCGACCACTTTCCGATCCACTTTCTCATTCTGATGAACTTGACCCCAGCCTACCTGCGGAAGGTGGAGGCAGAGGACATCCCAGTTTCCCTTGTGCCACGGGTGCACGGTGAAAGGGGTCGGGCGATAGTGGGGGGAGGGGGTGGGATGACTACATGGTGCGCGGGCAAGGACGGTCAGGTTGTCGGTGGTCGGATCAGTCAACACCTGGACAGATGATTCAAAGTCAGGAATGTTGGTGACGATGTGGTCTAAGAGAGTCTTGGTCGGGTCCAGGTGCGTAGGCGTCTCGATGAGTCGAAACAGACTGAGGTCACTCAAAGCAGAGTTAAAGGTCTATAAAGGTCACCCAAGCAAAGGTCGACTTGCCCGGGCTCACAACAGCATGAAGTTGGTCATGTAAATTATCAAGACTGTCCGATACCGGCGGAGAACGAATCGAGCTGTTTGGTGATCCCACATTAGCCTTGGGAGCTGCATCCAGTTTGAGTTTGACCCCCCAGGCGTACCTATCAAAACATGGGCTAGATGTCGGCTTATTTCTCGATTATGTTGTGTTTAATAGCAACTGTATGACTTCATCGCTACCTAGCATTTACAACAGAATGCATTCCATAAGATTAGTTGCAATAGCTTTTGGGGCAATGCCATTATCACACGGGATGATCAATTAACACCTAACAAAAAATCAGCCTTATAAGGCAGTCGAGCCGCCACCTTCCATTGCGGGTGAGCACAATGTCGGTCGCAATCGGTCGGTTACCGCTTCGGACATACGATGTTCAAGCCAATGCCATTACAGAAGGTGTTTTACATTTGTGCTGGGTTTTGAGCTGAGCCAGCCAGTCTGAAGATCATCCGGTGCAGTTCACAGCCCTGTCCTTCTTGAGGCTCTCTAGCAGCTGAGCTGTTCACAGCCCTGTCCTTCTTGAGGCTCTCTAGCAGCTGAGCTGTTCACAGCCCTGCCCTTCTTGAGACCCTCTAGCAGCTGAGCCGCACGCTCCGGAAATGTGCAGACTTTTTCGTGCAGACTGTATCATTGTTGACCAGGCATCCATGACGCCATGATAACGCCATTCAAATCCTGTCATTCCACTGGTCATGCGGTCTTCATTGTCCAGCTAAACACAATTGTCGACAGGGGCGGATCTAGTCTGGAGTTTTGGCGGGGGCCAACCGTTCGTCGCCAGCTGGCTGGTGTGGGATCCGAGGTCCAGTGCATGGTACCCCTCGCGAGTACCTAGTAGGGACACCATTCAAAACCGAAAAAAACACCGAAATGCTTTTGAATCTCAAACAGAAGTTAAAACAGAAGTTAAAACAGACGGTAAGTAGACGAAGCTTTTATGAAGTTCTGGGAATGTTTGGGGGGGGGGCAAAACATACTCTCAGAGATTTTGGGGACGTGGCCCCGTGCCCCCCCCCCCCCCCAGGATCCAATTATGATTGTCGAGCCATTCACATCTGGCGTTCGCACCATTTTCATATACGACTGCCGTCAGTTGGCTCTCAGCCCTGCCGTGCAGACTATGCAAGATTCTTACACGATTGGTGTTTTGGATTGGAAACCTTTCGACCAGGAAATGGTCATTTCAGGGCCGTGGGATGAAGGAAAATGGTTAACGGTGGGGCAGACTTGCATGCGCCTGGGGGCCAATAGCCGAGCCTTAGCCCGCGCATGCGCGCCGCCTATCCGGTCTCGGTCTCTTCCCACGGGGCTCTCGGCCCGCTCGTGGCTGACGCATGCAGCCTGCCCCGGACAAGCGGGGTGTCGCCAGGATGTGGGCTGATGCAAGATAGGGGATACGAGGGACTGGTTGATGTTATAGCACGAATTGCGTCTTGTGTTACATAATATAAGAAGCTATGCATTCTCCAGAGCTGTTGCGGAATAACTTATATATAATAGTCGAATAACTTGGAATAGCGCCATAACCGAGCATGTGACTACAAGTAAACATCTTTTCTCACTGATAAGTGTGCAATAACAGCCCTGATAAAAGGCCAAAACACGAGCACATAGCGATATTGGGCTTAACAAACAACTCCGGCGCGGCCACTGCCACCTCTCGGGAGATTGAAGAACAAGTGAATGCTGTCATACAAACGTTTCATGATGCAATCAAACAATAGCGTATTGAGGAGCATCCTTACTGTATATACAAATTTTGATGTTCAGACTGTCTATTCCACTTGAAGTATGCAAATACTTAAATGTTAGCTTATTTCATGACATTTGATGCTTACGTTATTATCTTCAAATGTGGCACATTTTCTAATGACTATGACCTTGTGACTGACCTTAATGACTCGCGGACTCCGGCGGCGATTCTGCCCCTGTTCACCCCACATACCGCAGTGTGCGACCCGCGCGGCAGTGGCAGGCGCCGTTGATCCGCCAGCTCTCCGCCTGTCGGTGGCACGCAGCGCTTTTTCGCACCGTGCGGCCTCGTCCGGCAGCCCCCTGCCACCGACAGTCACCTCCTCTCGCACCCGCAAGGAGCTTGACACCGAACTGGATAGTGTACTTGCCAATGTGTAACGTGCTTTGACGATTGATGATTAATTTTTTCGACGGAGCGTGTCCACGAAGGAATTATTGAAAATGCACGAATTTGGTCGCGTTGTTTTCATTATTTCATAGCACACTTATTCTATCGTACTGGAACTGAATCAATAAGCCACTCGTTGGAATGATTCGTCAATCAAAAGAAGCTTGAACTTGAGTGTTTTTGGTAACTTAACACGCTGGGATGATGCCTTAAATACGGGATCCAGCTCAGCCAATTTCCCCGAGATCCAGGGTCATGTGCTCCATCTTTCGCCTTTCTGGGTACGAATGACCCACTTTGGGCGTGGCTGTATGGAGGGGAGCCGGGCTGGTCCATCCGCCGCTCGTTCAGGGTACCACCAAGAATTCGCACGCCTCCGAACGATGCCGACCTTACTACTCCTCCCGGGGAGGCGCGCAGCGAGCTGCAAACGAGCCGGCTTGTAACGCCACGGCCGCGACCAAAACGCTGGACAAACATACAAGTACTTTAAGTAGAAATTTGTTAGTTTTCAGGGTGCTGGGCTGTGCTGTGCCACACTTAAGCGAACACAGCAGTCCAGCAACAGCAATGGGGTTGAACTGAGGTTAGCTTTCTAAAGAAACTGATCGCCCACCTCGAGCGATGCCACCATCACGTCACCTACGTCACCTACGTGATGACCACGTCACCTACGTCACCTACGTGATGATCACGTCACCTACGTCACCTACGTGATGATCACGTCACCTACGTCACCTACGTGATGATCACGTCACCTATGTCATCTCCTCGTAAGTCTGTTGCAAATGATCAGCCGGCGCCGCTTGCACACCTGTATTTTGTTTTTTTATGCCACATTAATCCAACAGCTGTGTGTTCGCACCATGCGGCCTCATCCGGCAGCCGCCTGCCACCGAGCATCACCGCCTCTCGCTCCCGCAAGGAGCTTGACACCGAACTGGACGATACACCTGCCAATGTGTAACATGTTTCGACGACATTTTCCGTTCAACATTTTCCGTTGTTTTAGCTATGCGTAGCACCTTTTATTCTATGACCCAGGGCCGCTTCAAGCCAGACCTGTGGTGCGGTGTCATGCTGCGATCACGATGGCACTTCGTGTGACACGGTGACACGTTAATACGCGCCACCGGGATGACCACAACACCATCACACGCCACCTCGCGGCACGCGCTCGCGAGGCAGCAGTCTAGTCCTGATACGCGTCCTGCAGCGACTTCACCGTCAGCGTCTTCTTCAGGGTGACAGCGTCGGTCGGCTCCTCCGCCACGAAACTCCACCTCGGCGTGCGCCTTCAAGCATGGTAAAGCCATTGTCGGAGAACCTGCCGGCGAGCGGCGTCTCGAGCCAGACGAACGGCGCCGGCGCGTCCGCCTGCAGTGTCACGCGCAGCCGGTCGGTCGTCAGCCGATTGTCGAGACGCGCCGGCGACACGGCCACCACGCGCACGGTCGCGATCCCCAGCAGCACAGACTCGAACGACGTCGGGTAGAGGTCGCTGGGCTCGGCGAGCTCCACGCCGGCCGCGTCAACGAGCGCGAACCGCGCCACCCGGCGGCCAGGGTCGGGCACGAGGTCGGATAGGGGCGCCGACCAGACGCGCCGCGCCGCGCCCGCCTCGATCGTCAGGTTCGTCACGAGCTGCTCCGTCGTCGGGGGCTGGAACCGGTCCCAGTCGTACACGGAGACCCGCAGACTGGCGCCGGCGATGTCGGCCGCGAGGTCGCTGACGGCGTAGACAATCACCTCCGTCGCATTGCCGGAGCCGGTGACGTAGACGGACGCCAGGAGCGGCGCGAAGAAGCGCCGCGCGGCGTACTGCAGCAGCTTCCACCGGCCGCCGTACTCGATCGAGGCCCACGTCGGTGCCTGCCAGATGTCGTTCAGCTGCCAGTACATGGCGCCCAACGTGAGGCCCTCGCCGCTGTCGGTCAGCTCGCTACGGCCGCGCCGGTAGTGCTCTGTCTCACTGCGGATCGCCAACGCCTGGTTGATCTGCGAGAGGTACACCAGGTCCTCGAAGCCGCCAGCGCTGTCCAGGTCCTGCGGCAGCTGGAAGTGCTGCTTGATCTCCGCCAGAAGCTCGGCGTTGCCCAGCGGGTGGTGCTGACGGTGCGCGACGAAGTCGGAGCTGTAGGACAGGTCGTGCGGCTCGGAGACGGCCGCCAGCGACAGCAGCGACGGCCACGATTGCAGGCCGTACTCGGAGGAGAAGCGCGGACGCGGGAAGACGGTCGTGTTCCACATGTCCAGGATGTACTCGTACACGTGCACGTCGCCGTATAGGCTGCTACCCGGGTCCTTGGCGACGTAGCCCTCGGCGTCCGACTCGCGTCCGTTGCTGGGGCTGGACGTAACGAAGGCGTCGGCGCTGCCGAGGACCTTAGTCAGCTCGTCGCGAACGGTGTCGACATAGAGGGAGACGTAGTCAGCCTTGTAGCGGTCGAAGTCGCCTTTGGTGCCGTACCAGTTCTGACGCAGCGCCTTCTCGTTCTCGTTATTGCCCGCCCAGATAACGATGGAGGGATGATGCTGAAGCCGCCATAGCTGCGTTTGCACTTCCTGGCGAACCGTGGCCAGGAACGCGTTGTCCGCCGGGTACATGGCGCAGGCGAACATCATGTCCTGCCACACCATCAGACCCAGCTCGTCGGCCAGCTGGTAAAAGGTGTCGTCCTCGTAGATACCGCCGCCCCAGACGCGCAGCATGTTCATGTTGGCGTCGCGCGCTGACGTCAGCAGGAGGCGCAGGTAGGCCGGCGTCACGCGCTCCGTCAGCGCGTCCGCCGGGATCCAGTTGCTGCCCTTGGCAAAGACGGGCGCACCGTTGACGCGGAAGAAGAACGTCAGGCCCTTGGCGGCGTCGGCCGGGTCGACCGGGTCCTGCACCAGCCGCACCTCGCGCAAGCCGAACGTGACGTTGCGGCACGGCAGCGCGCGCGGCATCGGCGACGTCAGCGTCAGGCACAGCGTCAGCGTCTGCAGCGTCGGCGCGCCGAGCGGGCCGTTCGGCCACCACAGGTCCTCCGCCGCGAGGCTGCGCGTGCTCAGTGCGTCGAGTGCCACCTCCGAGGAGGTGCGGTCGGCGCTGAACCTGCCGCGTGCCTGCGCTCCGATGCCGGGGATGCTGAGGCTGTAGTTGACGGAGACAGTGCCGGCCGCGGCCAGCTGGAGCTTCACCTGCACCGTCCAGGCGCCGAAGACTTTACCCTCGCTCTGCGGCCTCGCGTCCACCATGACGTCCGCCACGCGCAGCGCGTCGAAGCCAACCAGCCTGATCGGGCGCCAGATGCCGGCGTTGGGGAAGGCCGGACCCCAGTCCCAGCTGAAGGAGGCCTGCATCTTGCGGATGTGGTTGGCGTGGACAGACGCCGTGCTGCTGGGGAGGCGGGCACTTGGGCGGCACAATGTAGTCCTGCGCCTGCTGGGCGTACTTCTCCGCCGCATAGGCGGACGGCGAGCGAAGCGACACCTCAATGCGGTTATCGCCCTCCCGCAGCGCGGCCTTCACATCGAACGTGTAGCGGACGAACTGGTTGACAGTGCTGCCGACTTGCTTGCCGTTGATGGAGATGTTGCTTACCGTGTCGATGCCGTCGCAGACGAGCAACACGACTTTTCGGTCCAGCAACTCCTTCGCGACGTTGAAATGGCGGGAAAACGACCATTCCATTTCCGACACCCAGCGGTAGTTGACGTCGTTGAAGCGGTAGTAGAGCGATTCGTTCAGCACTCCCTCATGGCGGAGGTCAGAGTACACGCCGCCGGGAACGGCAGCCATGGTCTTGACCTTGCCGTCGGCGCTGCGCACGGTCCACACGCCGCTGTAGCTGCGGTCGCCCAGGTCAAGGACGACATTGTCGGGGTCAAGGTCATCAGCGCCGCGGGCGACGGTCCACAGCAGGGCCAGCGTCAGGGGCAGCAGCCACCGCGCCATAGTTCGCCGCCGGGACAGTGTCCAGCCGACTTCGCCCGGCGTCCGTTCTGCCTTCTGACTTCTTCTGATGCGATCTGATTTGATTTTGGTGTGATCTGGACGTTTCTGTCAGTCCACCGGCCTCAACGCGGAGTGGTCCACTGAAGTCCGACGGCTGTTCCCGGACGCGGCAGCCAGATACGGCCGGCACGGGCGTATCCAGGCCTGCGGGACCGGGGTGCTAGCACATCTCGCAGGTCAGGTGTCCATTGCTTCACTTGCTGCCGCAGGCGAGTTGCCGTTGCGAAGTTCTCTTGGCGTGCGAGCGCGAGCGGCCTCTCCGAGCACCGCGACAGGGGGCGAGCCTGCGAGCCGGGCTCGCTCGTGGTATCTCGTTGCCGCAATCGACGCCCGCCAGTGCCAGCGCGCTTAACTACAGACGTCGCGTTCCCAGGCCCCGAGTTAGAGTTGGCTGTTACCCAATGGCCATAGACGGGGAGGGAAGAGGGGGGGGGGGGGGCGTAGGAGGTGGGGCGGGGGCCGCAGGGAGGCCCAGCCCCGGCACAGCCAATCGTCACGGATGACGAGGGAAGAGGGGGGGGGGGGGGTAGGAAGTGGGGCGGGGCAGCAGGGAGGCCCAGCCCCGGCACAGCCAATCGCCACGGATCAGGCCTGAGATACGCCACCGCACTGGCGACGTGCCGGAGCTGAAGCGGGCAGAGGCATGCTGCACTGCTAGTAGCCCGGCACGCACCAGAGACGTGGTCACGGCGAAGTCAAGGGGGCGTGACCCCCTGGGCCAGGCGGTTTGCACTAGACAGTGGGCGGTTTTGCATGAATTTGATCCACATTCGCAGGATTTGAGAGACATTTGACGTTTCAGCTCTGACCTTTGATTTCAGCACGGGTTCACTGGCCAGTCTAGGCCGAGCATTCAGCCGAGCTGCCGAGTCGCCGGCCACTGCCAGCTGAGCATGCAGCGCAACTCGGCCAGGTGTTTCGAGTTAACGAGAACGAAGAGCACAGCAGATGCAACCCACGCTACGTCGTGGACGGCATACGGGCCATACGGCCGCGTTGGAAGGAAACACCAGTCAATGTTCAACGTTCGACGGCATGGCAAGCGGATGGCATGGCAAAGGCGCATGCCCCGAGGCATAGCAATACAGTGCACGGGCTTCACAGCGCGCTTGACATCCCTGCCATCCCTTGCCATCTCTTGACATCCCTGCCAGGTGTGTCGAGTCCAGCGGCGGCACCGCAGATTTGGAGTTGGGAGAGGGGCGGGGATGTTTCTTGGATCTCCTCGACAAAATGGGGTCTTCTAACAGGGGGGCCCCTGAGCAATGTCGCAGTCAAGTGGTGTAGGATGCACCAGGGACACTTGTATTGGAATCAGACAATCATATGCGTCAACATGCATGTAAATAACTGTCGGCTATACAAATTCAACGATGGAGCCTTCTGACCAATTCAAGGGAATGTTCCACAATTGAAAATATTGGAGCAAGCATCAGATGCGATTAAATGAGCCCATTTACAACTATTGGTACGCTTTCAAGTGGGAGGGCTGCTCCAGACAATACGATTTTTCTGTTTAGTACTACGCAGGAGCGGATCCACAGGAGGAGAGGGCACGGGACAGGAGCAGTTTTTAACACACAACGCAACAAAACTGGGTATCTCTGGACTTTCAGGCGACCAAGAACAGTTACAAGCAAAAGTGAAGGGCCTATGAGGTCAAAAAAATCATTCAATGATTAGAAAAGTTGTGAACTGGAAATCTTAAGCCTTATTAGATTGTCCAGGGGCTCCATGCTGTTTCCGGGGAATGAGCCCACTTGCAGGATCATTACGATCGGTAAGGAGCGTTCCACGTTGCCCTTCATTTCTTTCCATTTGCTCGAAGGGCCCTGCGCTGTTGCTGGGGCCCTTCTTGTCAGCGTGCCGGGGTACTCTTGTTAATCAGGGACCCTTCCACGGATTCTTTCACCAGAAAAGCTCTGAGCTATAGCCGGGGTCTCATATGGTAACCTGCCAGGGTATTCCCGGTTGCTCAGGGGCCCTTTACGTGGGTCTCGGTTATCCTGCCTACACACTTGCGATATGCTCATAGGCCCTGTACATTGGCCTGGGGCGTTTCCTTATTCCTTGCTTAGGGCCTCTTGCTTAGGGCCCTACACTCTTGTCGGGGGCCCATCTGATGGCCTGCTTGGGCGCACTCAGGCGTTCGGCGACCCTCCACAGTGGGTCTTGGGTACTTCTTTTCCGAATGGGGGACCCTACGCTCTTCTGGGAGCCCTGTCTGATAACCTGCTCGGGCACATTTGATTGGGGGCCCTCTGCATTGGGCCTTGGACACGTGCTATTTCAATGGGGCTCTGTGCGCTTGTCAGGGGTCCTCTCTGTTCGCCTCCTCGGCCACCCTGGATTATATATATATATATATATATATATATATATATATATATATATATATATATATACACGTCTGTGTGTGTGTATGTGTGTGTGTGTATGCTACACACGACTTGTCCTAAAATGTAATGACCGAAACGCAGGACGTTTTGGAGGGGCCCCAAACTCCAGGGGCCCCACAATGTTGCGTGCCCCCCCCCCCCCCGTCGACGAAAACCTGGATCTGTCCCTGGATCTGCTCCTCAACTGGTCATTATTTAATTGCGTCATCGTACTTTGCACGACACTTGAAACCCAATTGACAGCCATTATATCTGGAAATCGTACTCACGAACGCCAGATATGGACAACTTGATAATGATATTTTTCTTGGCATCGATCGCCGCACGGTTAATGAAATGACAGGGTTTGAATGAGGCCATCATGGCGTCATGGATACCTGGGTGACGTCAAAATAGTTTGCACATCCTCGCGGGTGTGTAGCTCAGGAACTAAGAGCGGTTTAGGTCTTACGAAGGGCAGGACTGTAAACTGGACCAAACGATCTTCAAGATGGCTTTTTCAAGTCAAAGCCCCATACAAATGTGGAATGCTTTTAAGGGGTTTCCGTCCCAGCAAACGGCCTCACTGTCCCAAAACAGGGCCTCCTGTTCCAGAAAAGACGTTTCCTGATACAAAGAGGTAGCTCCTGCTCTAGGACAGAACCATTCCGATGTACAAACTGGGCCTTCAAATGCATCAAAGGGCCTCGTTATCCCCAAGCAGGGAATCATGATTTAACGAGGGGTACCCTTATGAACAAGGGGTCTTCTAGCTCAGAACGGGGGGTCTCCCCAACCAGTACTGTATCCCTGACACAAAAGTGTAGCTCAGTGGTGTAGGACATGGGATTTCTTAATACAAAAGGCCCTTTCATGATCCCAGGGGCGCAGCCAGAGCTTTGGCACGGGTGCACAGGGTTGACAAAGGGCTCTCTGATAGTTAAAGCCCCCCCCCCCAAAAAAAAAGAAATCGCCTGACAAGGCCCACTTGTTACTGAGAACATGCTTCTCCGAGATATTATATATACATAGACATAAATATATGCACTCACATGTATATATATATATATATATATATATATATATATATATATATATATATATATATATATGTGTGTGTGTGTGTGTGTGTGTGTGTGTGTGTGTGTGTGTGTGTGTGTGTGTGTGTGTGTGTGTGTGTGTGTGTGTGTGTGTGTGTGTGTGTTGTGTGTGTGTGTGTGTGTGTGTGTGTGTGTGTGTGTGTGTGTGTTGTGTGTGTGTGTGTGTGTGTGTGTGTGTGTGTGTGTGTGTGTGTGTGTGTGTGTGTGTGTGTGTGTGTGTGTGTGTGTGTGTGTGTGTATATACATGTATGTAGACGCCATTTTGCCCTCCATAACTGGACTGTAGGCCAGACGTTACCGCGATATCAATTCTGTCCGAGGAGTATCATGTATAAACTGACAAAATCATGTGTTCAATGACTGCATGAAATAAATCATTGGCGTTCTTCATTTTGCAATGGTGTCCTCTTTCTAAACCGATAAAACTCAGACACTTTGTCAGAATGTTCATCTCGGTTGTACAGAAATGATACGGATTCCGCAAATATAGATTGAAGATCAAAATGGGTCAGCAATTTGAATCAATATGGTCAACCATGTCTGTTTGGATATCTTCAACATTCAGTCAGAATGAGAAGTGGTGCAAATTATGCAAGCGCAGTTTTGAGCACCCGCGGTCGAATATCTTGGAAAGAAAAAACTCGACGTCAGGCGTTGCAGTCCCTATAAGGCCGCACAGCGTCGGTCCCGTGGCTAATACCAGGCCGTGACCAACAGGTGGACTAAATGGCGGAGCATCTGAAAGAAGCAGCTTTGAGCGCCTTTGGACAACAAATCGTTCATTTAGGGATATTCCGGGCGTAATTTTCACCTGTGCGGTATTTGGATTGATGACAATAATGTACTGCTCTTAACCGCGAATTGTCGCTGGGATCTCCTGGTGTGGCTAGAAGAGTGAATGAAAAATATATCTTTGTCGTGTTGCTGTAATTGTTGGTCTGTCCAAAGGCAGTCTCAGACAGATTTAAAGAATATTTTCCGAATATAATCTTTGGACTGAACGATTTTGTTTTTGAAAGGCTTTCAAAAAACACTATATTACAATGATCATTGTTGCGCGCACGGCACCTGCCCCTGGCCTTCTTTGTATTGGCCAACGCCGTTCGGTTTGAAGAAAACTGCGACCCAAGCCATCTCTATCCTTGCTCCCCGAGATTACGGACGTGCCACTGGGGCTATACAGCGCCGCCAGCCGCTCATCCTGGCGGAAAGGGCGGGCACCGCGGGGAATCGAACCGCGTACCTGTGGTTTCCCAGGCGTGCAGTGCTTACCGCAGGCGCGTTGACCACAACACTATCGGCGCCCGGCGCGCAGGCTCAGACCTTTTGGTGGTATTTGTTTCGCTAGCCGATTCTGAAAAAGGACGTTCTCAGGGAAGCATGGGATGGCCCCGTGCATTTTTAACTCATTCCGACCCACTCCATTCAGCACTAATGAGACCCCTTACTTCTTTCCGGTTAAGAGGCCACCTCAAGTGCAACACTGCGGGATGCATCGCTGTTCTCCGTCAAAGAATGAAGGGCCATTCCGTCCAACCAACGTGTATTTTCCGGCCGTCATTCTGGCGACATGGGGCGACACCCCCTGGCCGGCACGGAGACCCTTAGAGGGGTACACCATATCACATTGGTTCGCTCCCTGACGCGGCAGGCCTTCTGCCCGCACAGTTGACCCCGGATCGACGCATGAGCCGTCATTAACGCAACAGCATCCCTGCCCACCGCAGGTGGTCAAATAATTGGCACAAAGACTTCCGTTGGGCTCATGGTGGGGTTGGGTTGGAGGGCCCACCGTTCGGTACTGGGAGTCCTGACTGGCACAGGGCTCTTCCATTTCAACGTGAGCACTCATCAAAAGTTCCCATGTTCCTTTCAGTTGTCAGAGGGTCCCGGCCAACACAAGAGACGCCCCGCCACTCGGGCTCACGTCCACTTCTATATCAAGCAAATCTCCCCCCCCCCCCCCCACCTCTCCCCCGGCCGATTCGGGACCCTCTGTTGATACAGACTGCCCTGTAGGCACTGGAGTACCCTGGACGATACAGGAACCCGATCAACGTAAATCGTGGGCCCGGCCTTGTCGCTGCTTGGGAAATGGGTACCCGGAGCTTAGACCGACCCGGAACTAACTGCTCGTTGTACGTGATCCCTGGCCAAAATAGAGGAACGCCCGTCGCAGGGCTCCCTATCGGCGCAAGAGATCATCTTATTGACATTTGAGATCACGGTCCTAAGAGAGGGAGTCCTTAATGTGACCTACAGCCAGCGCTTCGGGCCCTTCAACAATCCCATCGGGTCCCTGATCTTTGATCTCGAGAGACCCTCCGGCCCCTCTTCAGACCCCCTTAAACACCGCTCCGACTCAGGGCCACTTGCCGTCACAGGACCCCTGTTCGGCACTGAGGCCCCTGACCGTCACAGGATCTCCTCATTAAGTTAGGGCCCCCGAACATTGCAAATCACGGCCCCCGGCCCCGTTTTTGCTTGAGAAATGGGCATCAAGGGCCCAGACAGGCATGGAGCCGACTGTTCGGTGTTCGTGGTCTCTAACTCACTCGGACACCCGCATTGTCTAAGGGCTCCTCAAACGGTGCCAGAGGACCTCTGACCGATATTTCAGGTCACGACGGAACGCACCGCGATTCTTTACGTGACCTACCAGTCCTTCGGGCCCTTATGGCCTCCCACCGGGCCCTTGATCGTCGGTTCTTGTGCGCCGCCAGGGTCCCTCTTCGGCCCTTGCGAGCACAGGGCTCTTTGTTAGGCACTGCGGACCAGACAGATATAAGGCCCCCGACCAGTGTAAATCGCTGGCCCTCGCTTTATAACTGATTGGGATGAGGATCCCCAGGCCCATACCAACACGGAACCGACCATGTGGTATGGTGTTACCTGACCGACGTTTTCGGCTCAGGCGGTCTCCAATCGGCGCAAAGGGCCCTCTGACCGTTTTTTGATGGTTCGTTTTCGCGGGTCGGGGTCCCTGAATAAGGCCCCGACCTACGCTGCGAATGCGGCCCTTAGACCATCCCGTTGGGCCTTTAATCGTCGAACCCGGCGGGCCCTCCAGGTTCTTCGGGCCTCCCCGAGCACTGTCTCTGACCGACTCGGGTCCCTCGACATCATAGGGCCTCTGTAAGGTGCTGTGGGACCACAGCAATTTAGATTGCCGGCTCTGGCTTGTCCCTGCTTGGGAAATGGGCCCTTAGACTCATGTTACCACGGAGCCGACTGTACGTTACTGGCGGTGTCTGACCAAAATAGAGGCCCTTATCAAGCCAGCGGGTCCTTGATCAGCGCCCAGGTCCCTCTGGCTGGTATTGGAGTGCCCGGCCCTGCGAGCCGGGTCTGCCTGAATGAGAGCTCCGGCTGGTTTTTCGGGCCCTTAATCGTAGATTTCGAGGGCCCTTCCGGCTTCTCGGAACCTGGGAGGGGGGGGACACGAATCATTGCGCCCCCCCCCCGCCGCCTGCGCTACTGCATGATCCAGAAAGCAGGCTGCGCTTTGATGCAGTAAGCCCTCGGAGCCAGATCTGGAACCTCTAGCTCTATTATGGGACCCTTCTCGATCTGCACCTGGGTAATCTAGGTTGGCTTGAAAGGGTGTGTTTTGTTCAAAGGGCCTCAAAAAATTCTAAGGGGACAAAAATACATTCCTGAGCGTCCCACCCACCTCGTCCCCCGGTGCAACGCTCATTAATAAGAAATTGACAAAATCTGTAGTACGCCATGCCCTCCATGAACGAAACTCAACGAAATACCTAGGGTCAGACGATATTCCTCTCCACACCGTCCACTTGTAAGGATGGACGTGCGCCCGGCACGCACGGGCCTGCCGCGGTCGGCCGCCGATTGACCCTGGGTCGGCGAGCGTCCGCGCACAGCCGGCGGCGGTTTGTCACGGGAGCAGGCGGCGAGGTCAGGGCGGTGCGAGGCGGAGAGGAGAGGGAGCGGGGCGGACGCCGCTGGAGCGGTGCCCTGCGCGGAGCTGCACCGCCAGTATAATAGGAAGAAATGCAGGCTTTACGCACCGGTAAATGTCGGGGTGACTTCGGAGTCATTCACCTGTACAATCGCAGCTCCAACAGCACGGCACCAGCCACGTCACAGCTGCCCGCTTCATGAGATCGCCCAATGTCGACGCGTTCTTTACGACGTTCTGGTCCGGAGGGGTCCGCATTCGGCACTGTCTGTCCGTGCCTAACGTGATGTTTGTTTGGAAAATGTTCACGCTCGGCGATTCGCCTGGACATGGACTCATGACCGAGATTCCCTGGAGTCCAGCCCGGGGCCTGTATGTCCAGCGAAGAGCGACTTCATTGTCCTCCTGGTTTGAAGCTAGTCCGCTTATAGAGGGTTTGAGGACCGAGTCAGAAGCGTAGTGACGGAAGGCAATTTGGGGTCCGTACGGAAGACAGCGGCACACCTACCAACGTGCTCAGCAAACGGCCTCTTCGGATTTGAACCACCTCCCTTTTAAAGTGGGGTGGTTGACTGAAGATCCCCTCCACGACTAACAGGAAATCACATCCCTGCTTCTAGCCTCTCTGGCCTGGCCCGGTTCACGTTTGGTCAATCCGGTGAGATCCGGTCCGCACCGGTTTTATCTGCGTCGTTCCGGACAAATTTCCCAGAACCGGACACCCGAAATAGCCCATCTTGAGTGCCTGCACCACGCCGGCTCATTTGGCTGCCTTTATAGACCGCTAAGCCCGGTCGATGCGAGGGTGGAGAGCAATCACACCAGCATTAACAATGCGGACGGGGGTCGATGCGGCGTCAATGCCGGCAGAGCGCATGCCTTCCCACCGCAAAAGCCTGCGCCCTGGCCGCCGTCTGAGAACAGGACTCGCCGCAGGCTTCTCCGCGCCGTTGGTCTCGTCCGTGGACATGCTGCCACCGAAAATGTACCGGTACCGCACCTGTCCGTAGGACCCAGGATCCCTGATGCAGTCTTCGACTCGCAGACTCGGGGCAGACCGGGATACGCCGGTCTCGCCCCAAGTTTCCCCAATCATTCCATCACCGGGGGAAAGTCTTCCATCTCACTCCTCGCATAGTCAACCACAACCCACGACAGGGGGCCTGATGATGCAGTCAATCCGCAGGAAACGCTTTCGCCTCATCGCTAATACAACTACGGCCGCGAGCACGGCGGCAGTATGCGTCTGTGACTGGTTCCCAGTGTGCCAATGTACCCGCTAGTACAAGTCGGCAGCACTCAAGACGTGGTGCGAAACTTCCACCAATCCAACTAGTGTCCCAATTTATGCGCTACCCATGATGGATGACAAATGCGTTTGCGTATCACCGTTCCAACGGTGCCTCCAACGTTCCTGCTTCCGCAGTTGGCGGGCAGCGGATGGCAAAGAGCGCCTGGCACCATCCGTCGGCGGCCTTCCAGTCCCAAGGAATCAGCCCGAAGATGGCACACACATGGCAACTGCTGCCAAATAGGCAAAAAGTTCACTGCAAAGAAAAGACTCCAGCACACTGAACTGCGACAACCCAGCGAAGCGGGGTCGGGTCACCTCAGAGCCGTTTATTGACACCAATCTTCGCGCGGGCCAACGCGCCGCGGGAGATAAAGGGAGAGTAGCTCGCACACCGAACATCGTGAAAGGGAATGCCAGGGTCCGCGACCCATACAACTGGGACGGCAGGCGCGGCCGCAGGTCACCTCAGGTCACGGTCACCGGTGACCCGGGGTCAGGCCGGGGTCACGCTTCCGGTGACCCGGGGCCACGGCCAGGTCGCTGGCGGCTCAGATCTGGCCACAGTTGTCGATCATGATCTTTTTCGTCGGCTTGCCGTTTTGGGTGCCTGCGAAACGTCACGGGGGAGTCAGGATGGCGGGTCACACTGGGGTCACGTAGGAGGTTGGCGGCGACGGTGGACGGTCACCAGGGCCTCTCGGCGCTCAGGTGTCGGCGAACGTCCTAGATCGTGCGGCGAAGCCGGCAACTAAATG